ATTAACAGTGGTGAGTCACTGAGGCTGGGACTCTTACAGGGGTGAAGAGGTACATCCTGGTTTCAACCCCTCACACACCATTCTCCATGATTCTGATCTCTGGGAGAGGGGATAATTTAACCCCAATTTTGAGAATTGCTTTTTCTGCATCTAGGTTCTGTCTACATCCAAATTTAGATAACTTGGATTTCAAACACCTAGAAAACACATATTTAATGGCCTGAGATTTTTATGAACTTTATTTCTCACTTTCCTATATTCACTTTTGCCTACCCTTTCACTGTTTCTCCTGATCCAGTTCTATGGAAAGAAAATTTTGGTCAAGGGTTTTAAAGAACATGCCTTTCTAAAGAGTAAAAAAAAAAAAAAATTCCATGCCTCGTGCCCACTTTCTCCATTATGTCTACACACCTTTGTCATAGCCCTTGGAATATCCTTATATCCAGGTGTGGGGACACACAGATGTGAAATAGCCAAGAGCAGATAAATTTCTCAGTGTAGACCTAGGACTTATTAGCAGATTTTTTTCACCCCCCCCCCCGCCCCCTGCCCAACTATACTTAGATTTTCTGTGTTTCAGAGAGAAGTGAGAAAATTAGGGGACATAATTTCAGATTATTGTCTGGCAAAAAATAGAACTCTTATTCTTTGAAGAGGGACTGAGGAAGCATTTTTATGTTTTATTGAAAGAGTGAAGCTGTACTAAATTACAACTCTTGACTATGATCAGCTCTCTAAAGCCTTCTTTCTCCTTGTCTTTCTCTGGGACTCCCTTTTTCTGCTATTAAGATTAGCTCCTATCCAAACATCATTCCACTGTGGCTATTTATCTTTTTCAGTCAAGAATATATTTTGGTCATCAATGATATTGCCTTTGCCCATCAAACAATTTATTGGTAGTTAGTAAATAACTAAATTTGTTACTCCCAAATTCTAGACTCTCAAACTTGTCCCTTCACCTTCATACCACATCTCTTCTCCACTTGATCTTTTGCCCTAAGATAACCTAAGCATTGCCCACCCAACAGTATTAACTACGGGAATGCTTTCCTCCAGGAACTAAATGTTGTGTTATTGACTTGGTAGGCAAGTTCAGCTGTGTCTAACCTGTGATGTAGATAAAGATCGTTGAGTAAATCATTAAAGATGGGGTTGTGAAACAACAATCTCTCTTAAACTGTGGCTTTTAAAGGGTTTATGAATATTATCTTATCCTTTACCACACCCTCAAGAATTAGGCATAGAACTGAAGATAGGAAGACTGTGGTCAAGGTCATGCACATCATTTCTCACCAAGGAGATAAACTGAAAACTAATTCAAGTATTGGAAATCCAGTTTTTTCTTTTCCTTTATGAGAAGTGGGAGTACTTCCTCCACTAGTATCTTACTGTGCGTTAGTGGTGATTTTCAGGTATTTCTGATTAACAAATAATTCACTTGACTATTACAGAGAGTCCTCTTTGTGAGCAGAAGCAGCATGAACTCAAATCATTTCAACATCTGTGATGAATTTACTGTTCTTATATAGATCTTATTTAGTCAGATGTGAAGGACATCATATGATACAGACTTTAATAATCTGCACCGAACTAAAACAGTGCTTCCTCCACCTTAGGCCAAGTTGAGGAAATGGTTTGCAGGACAGAAAATCATCTCTCTCTGGTTTCCCTACTAGCTGCCCAATAATATTCTAAATTAATGCAAGTGCTATACTTAGGGTCTGTTAAAATCTAAGGTCTCAGAAAAATTGAGTAACTAGATGCAAAAGTAAAGACAAACTGTTTAAAACAGGAAAAACTGGCTGACACCTATTGTTTAATATAAAAATAATAGAATTAAATATCAGGAAGTTAAGATTAATTTTTAAAACATTCAGATGAAAAATAAAATTTATCTAAACTTAGGTGCTATTGTGGGCATGGTAGCTCACACCTATAATCCCAGCACTTTGGGAAGCCAAAGTTGGTGGATCACCTGAGATCAGGAGCTCAAGACCAGCCTGGCCAATGTGGTAAAACCCCATCACTACTAAAAATACCAAAATTAGCTGGGTGTGATAGCACATGCCTGTAATCCCACCGAATTGGGAGGCTGAGGCACGAGAATCACTTGAACCCAGGAGGCAGAGCTTGCTGTGAACCGAGATTGCACCACAACACTCCAGTCTAGGCAACAGAGGGAGACTCAAATAAAATAAAACTTAGGTGCTATTGAGAAAAATTCTATAAAAAAAGTAGAAAGCTGGATAATTTAGAGCTACAGCCAAAACTGATTTCATTACTATATTGTAAAGTTAGCTGTTATAACAGGGCCATTTAATGGCACCTGGACAAAGGTTAGTATTAATGTGAAGGCTCTCAGATCAAAGTGAAGCGATCAGTGACTCATCATTCGTATGTGTCCAGTTGCCTACTAGATGTCTTAGATTCAGAATCATATAAACATCGTAATACATACAGAACAGAGCTCATCAGAAACATACACACCCTAATAACCACCAGCCACTACCTTTGTTATCTCTATTCCTATTTCAGTAAATGGTGCTGCCCAGTAAGAAAACTCAGGAAGCATCCTAGATGTCCCCTTTCCCTCTCCTTTTTTGCTAGGGGAAAACAGGAAAACATGAAACGTGGTCCCTACCTGTGCTCAAGTAGCTTAAATCTGCTTGGGAAGCTAAGACAAAAACAAGACAAAGTCAATACAAGATAAAAAATTATAGGATAAATATGCAAGGCCCTGGCCAGGTGCAATGGCTCACACCTGTAATTCCAGCACTTTGGGAGGCCAAGGCAGGTGGATTACCTGAGGTCAGAAGTTCGAAACCAGCCTGGCCAACATGGTGAAAACCAGTCTCTACTAAAAATACAAAAATTCGCCAGGCATGGTGGTAGGTGCCTGTAATCCCAGCTACTTGGGAGGCTGAGGTAGGAGAGTTGCTTAGACCTTAGAGGTAGAGGTTGCAGTGAACTGAGATCGCGCCATTGCACTCCAGCCTGGGCAACAAGAGCGAAACTCGTGTGTGTGTGTGTGTGTGTGTGTGTGTGTGTGTGTACACAAGGCCCCATATAATTGAGTTTTACCAAGAATAGTGCTTTAGAATTTAAGGAAAGGATGCAGTCAAACCAGGTGGGGTGGTTTTGAGCTGGCCAATGACAGGCTGACAAGAATACCCTGGTACCTGCTCTTTACGACCTGTTGTTCAGCAGTGTATTGTCCCTGATCCTTTTTATGAGGAAAGCATACAAATGGCCTTTTCAGTTGAAGCCATTTTCTCTGGAGATTGCCATTTGCAGTTCTGTGAAAAGAAAAGTTTTTTCTTTTCATTCTCCTGAGCTTCCACAAACTACTTCTCTAAGTGTCTCTTAAGGCTAGTGTAGCCTGTCAGTCTCTGATGATACTGCTGTTTTTTAGCATCCACATGCTTTGTTGCATTGTTCCAGGTTAGAGTTCAGTGGATCCTGAACATGTTTCTTTAGCATACCTTAGGGGTGGCATGGAAGACGCCTCCTCCTCTTGCCATGAGGTTGTGAAACACATTCCTGCCTACCTGTGGTTGTCTAATAGGGACTAGCTTGAGCCACCTGGCCACAGTTGTTGCTTCAGGGCCGGCTGCATGGTCCTTCGGAATACCTTACATTAGTTAAGGGCAATAAAAACATTTGGGTGCTATTAAATTATTGAAACATGGGACAGCAGCAGATTAGAGTCTCACAGTCATAAAGGAGGTTAGATATTACCTGTGGACTAAATTATTACTCATTTATTCTATGTGAGCATTTCTTTAGAGGAAAGTGCTTCTTCAGCCTTCTTCATAGCACTCTGACTTCTTAGTGGATGCATACCTTGATTTCATTCATCCCCAGGCATCTTGTTAATTCCAAGCACCAAAGCTTGCTTTCAGAGCCCAGCTATAGGCCTGAAGCAGTATCCAGAAAATTTTTGCAAAGACCCTGTCTCCATAAAACAAAAAAACAAACAAAAAAAACACAACTGTAATTTCTCTACGTACTTTTTTTTTTCTTTTGAAATGCAGTCTCACTCTGTTGCCCAGGCTGGAGTGCAGTAGCACGATCTCGGCTTACTGCAACCTCTGCTTCCAGGGTTCAAGCAATTCTCTGCCTCAGCCTCCTGAGTAGCTGGGATTCCGGGCACCCAACACCATGCCCAGCTAATTTTTGTATTTTTAGTAGAGACAGGGTTTCACCACATTGGCCAGGCTGGTCTTGAACTCCTGACCTTGTGATCCACCCACCTCGGCCTCCAAAAGTGCTGGAATTACAGATGTGAGCCACCATCTAAGTACTTCTAAACCAAGATTTGTACTGTAGTGTGCCTCAATTCTTGTCAGTGTTGTGGACTTATAAACCAATGATTATTTAACAGGAATACCCAGACCTAAAATAAAGCAAAGTATATGTTGACCAACTATAGTTAATAATGTGGTCAAAATTTTATTTTTTTGGAAAAAAAAATGTATTTGCAGTATTTCTTCTCTTTAAGATAATGATTTTTGAATGATTACTTTTAAAGTATGAAGTATCCTTCATAAATATAAACTTACACTGTGGTTAAATTAAAGAAGAAAGTATGAAGAATACTGTCACTAAAAATTGAGACAGTAACAGGCTGGCTTTATATTATAATTAGGTAAATAATTCTTATTTATTGAATCAAAAGTATACGAACAGACTTAGAAGCAGTTTTGGCCAAAGTGCCCACTCTCTTTATAGTACAGATAGCCAGGCAAGGTGGCTCAACCTGTAATCCCAGCACTTTGGGAGGCTGAGGCAGGAGGATCTCTTTAGGCCAGGAGTTCAAGACCAGCTGGGCCAACATAGCGAGACCTTGTATCTACAAAAAAAAAAAAAAAAAAAAAAAAAAAAAAAAAAAAAAAAAAAAATTAATAATAAAATGAATAACATCAGGTGAATTTTATTATGCAAAAACAGTTCTTTGGTAAATAACCATACTAATATCTTCTTTCTCTTTGTCTGTCTAGTGAGAATTCAACAGAGGCAATAGCAGTAGATTCTAACAATCAGTCGAAGTCCCCACTGGAGAAGTTTATGGTCAAGCTGTGTACTCATCATCAAAAGCAATTCATTCGTGTTCTGAACGACCTGTATACTGAATCTCAGCCAGGCACTGAGGACCTGCAGCCTTCTGATTCTGGAGCAATGGATGTATCCACTTGCAATGCTAGCTGTGCCCAGCTAAGCACCAAACATAAGGAAAAAGATGCTCTGTGTCTCGATATGAAGTCTCCTGCTTCTGTAGATTTGTTTGTAGACTCTCACAGCCCTCTACACTTGACGGAACAGACCCCGAAGGAGCCTCCTCCTGAGACAAACTCTGTAGATGGAAGAGAGAATGCCTTGACTGTTGTCCAGAAAGATTCCTCTGAACTTCCAACCACTAAACTGAATTCTATTAATAGTAGTTCAGTGGATAGTTTCACTCCGGGATACCTCACTGCATCTAATTCTTCCTCAGTGAACTTCCACCACATCCCTAAAAGCTTGGAGGGGCAAACCACTGGACAGGAGCAAGACACAAATGTGAACATATGTGAGGATGGGAAAGATCATATGCAGAGTTCAGCTTTAGGAGAAAGTCTAATTACAGTAAAAATGGCAGCTGAGAATAGTGAGGAGGGCAATACCTGTATTATTCCTCCAAGAAATTCGTTCAAAGCTTTATCAGAAGAGGCTTGGGACTCAGGGTTTTTTGGGAGCTCACCTAGAACTGCAGACAAAGAGAATACTTTACAGTGTAGCTCAAAAACACCTTTATGCCAGGATTTAGAGGCAAATGAACAAGATGCCAGGCCAAAGCAAGAGAACCATCTTCACTCGCTGGGAAGAAATAAGGTGGGCTGCCATTTACATCCCAGTGATAAGGGCCAGTTTGATCATTCCAAAGATGGTTGGTTAGGCCCCAGCCCTGTACCAGCTGTTCACAAAGCGGCAAATGGACACTCAAGAACCAAGATGATATCAACCTCCATTAAGACAGCTCGTAAAAGTAAAAGGGCATCGGGGCTGAGGATAAATGATTATGATAACCAGTGTGATGTTGTTTATATCAGTCAACCAATAACAGAATGCCACTTTGAGAATCAAAAATCGATATTATCTTCTCGGAAAACAGCCAGAAAGAGTACTCGAGGATACTTTTTCAATGGTGACTGTTGTGAGCTGCCAACTGTTCGTACACTAGCCAGAAATTTACACTCCCAGGAAAAAGCAAGCTGCTCAGCGTTGGCATCAGAGGCAGTTTTCACTCCTAAGAAGATCCTTACAACTTCGGCCCCTAGATATACAGTGGATGTGCAGCTTCCCAGAGAAGACAACCCTGAAGAACCTAGCAAGGAAATAACCTCTCCTAAGGAAGGAGGTGGAGACGTTTCACCTGAAAAAGAACCTCAAGAGCCTGAGGTTTGCCCCACAGAGATTAAGCCAAATCTGAGCAGCTCCCCTAGGTCTGAGGAAACAACAGCCTCCAACCTGGTGTGGCCTCTCCCTCCTCACCTTCCTGAAGAGGACCTGCCAGAAGATGGCTCCACAGTCTCAGCTCCCACAGCAAGTGGGATGTCTTCTGAACACGACCAACCACCATGTGCACTGCTGGATACAGAGGAGATGAGTGTACCCCAGGACTGTCCCCTGCTTCCCTCTACTGAAAGCTTTTCTGGGGGAGACAGTGAAGATGTCATTTCTAGGCCTCATTCTCCTCCTGAAACAGTCAGTAGAGAAGAAAGTCCTCAGTGCTCAGAAAATCAAAGTTCCCCAGTGTGCTTGGAGCCTCCCATGAGTCTGGGCAAAGCTGAGGACGACCAAAGCATCAATGCTGAGGTTGAGCCTGGAGATACCCAGGAGCCAGATGTCGACCCACCCTTGAAGGAAAACAGCACTTTTATTGATGAAAAGCCCAGTGAAACTGAGGAAGGTGAGGCAGCAGGTGGTACAGGAAAATTAGAGGGAGAGGATGGTGATATAAAATGCCTGTCAGAAAAAGACACGTGTGAGCCAAGCACTGACTCACTCGAAGAGAATTTGGACAAGAAGAAAAAAGGTAAAAAATTCCTTGAGGCCTCTGATAGGTGCCTAAGAAGTCAACTTTTGGATTCTTCCTCTACTGACAGATGCTTAAGAAATCATAGTTCAAATTCTTCCTCAGCTTATCTTGAAATCAAGGTTTCTAAAAATCCTGGTGCAAAACGTTCAAGAAAAGAAGGGCACCCTAGTGGGGCAACACCCGAGGGCCTTCCACCTGACGGTTTCCACACGGAAGCTCTGGAAGACACAGAAAAGTCAAGTGTCAATGAACGCCCGCCTGAGAAAGATGCTGAGCAGGAGGGTGAAAGTGGTGGGGTCATCACCAGGCAGACTTTGAAAAACATGCTGGGCAAAGAAGTCAAGGAGTTAGGAGGAGAGGTTTTCCCCAGCAAGTACCCCATAACCACAGCTGGACAACCACTTCCTGGAGAGAGACTAGAAATCTATGTTCAGTCTAAAACAGAGGAGAAGAATGCTCATATTCCCTCAGAGCATATTCCTTGTAAGAGGGACCCAGAACAGGCAAAAGAAGAGCCAGGGCATCTTCCCACACAGCATGCGGAGGAGGCTGTGAATGAGGCAGACAGAGAAAACACACAGCAGAAAGATGATGACAGTGATGGCCCATGCAGCTCTCTTGGATTGTCGAGTAGTGGAAATGGTGATGCTGCTAGGCCACCACAATTGGTGCCAAGGCCTAAAAGATTGACCTCTTCAACCTACAACCTAAGACACGCTCATTCTCTGAGCTCCTTGGATGCTTCAAAAGTGACTTCAGAAAAGGAGGCTGCACAAGTAAACCCCCCATTGCCAAAGGAAAATAGAGCTTCAGAGAGTGGAGACCCCCTAGATGAAGATGATGTTGACACCGTGGTAGATGAACAGCCAAAGTTTATGGAGTGGTGTGCTGAGGAGGAGAACCAAGAGCTCATCGCCAACTTCAATGCCCAGTACATGAAAGTTCAGAAGGGCTGGATCCAGTTGGAGAAGGAAGGACAGCCAACACCAAGAGCAAGGAACAAATCAGATAAACTGAAGGAGATTTGGAAAAGCAAGAAACGGTCACGAAAATGCAGGGGTGCTTTGGAGGGTCAGAAGTTTTCTCCTGTTCAGATGCTGTTTATGACAAACTTTAAATTATCTAATGTTTGTAAATGGTTCTTAGAGACAACTGAAACCCGGTCTCTAGTCATTGTGAAGAAGCTCAATACTCGTCTTCCAGGAGACGTTCCCCCTGTCAAGCATCCACTTCAGAAATACGCTCCTTCCAGCCTGTATCCCAGTTCACTGCAGGCTGAACGATTGAAAAAACACTTGAAGAAATTTCCTGGAGCTACTCCTGCTAGGAATAATTGGAAAACACAGAAGCTCTGGGCTAAATTTCGGGAGAATCCTGACCAGGTGGAGCCAGAGGATGGCAGTGATGTCAGCCCCAACCGTAATTCTGAAGACAGCATAGAGGAAGTCAACGAAGATAGAAACAGCCATCCTCCAGTCAACCTGCCCACTCCAGCCAGTACTCGGATTCTTAGAAAATATTCCAATATTCGAGGAAAGCTCAGAGCCCAGCAACGTTTAATCAAGAATGAGAAAATGGAATGCCCAGACGGTCTGGCTGTGGAGAGTAAAACAAGTCGTAAGAGCGTATGCATCAACCCTCTGATGTCCCCCAAGCTTGCCCTGCAAGTAGATGCAGATGGGTTTCCTGTTAAGCCCAAGAGTACTGAAGGAATGAAGGGAAGGAAAGGGAAGCAGGTGTCTGAAATCTTGCCTAAAGCAGAAGTTCGGAGTAAACGCAAGAGAACAGAAGGCAGCAGCCCTCCTGATAGTAAGAACAAGGGTCCTGCGGTGAAAGCCAGCAAAGAAAAGCACGCTGATGGATCCACCAAAACCCCTGCCGCCAAGAGGCCAGCTGCAAGGGACAGAAGCAGCCAACTCCCCAAAAAAATGTCTTTGAAAGAGAATAAAGGGAAGATCCCTAAAAAGTCCCCTGGGAAGAGCTGCCCTCCCTCCAGGAAAGAAAAGGAGAATACAAACAAAAGACCTATTGCCTCGGAAACACTGGCGAAACCTGCAAAACAGAAGGGGGCAGGTGAATCCTCTTCAAGGCCCCAGAAAGCCACGATTAGGAAGCAGAGTAGTAGAAAGACTCGGGCCAGACCCCTGACAAAAACCCCAGAGAGCAGTGCAGCTCAGAGAAAGCGAAAGCTGAAGGCAAAGCTGGACTCTTCGCACAGCAAACGGAGGCGGCTGGATGCAAAGTGATTGGAAAATGGTAATCAAGAATAAAACTGTTCTATAGAAGTAACCTTTTATTTTGCATTAACTAAATCTGCTTTTATAAGCTTATCAAGCCTTTCAAATTTACAGTTAATGGAGAACAGCATAATTTGAGATGTCAGAAAATACGTCTCAGATGGAGAAGGGAACTTGCAGAGTCCTTCTCTGAGGCTAAGGGAAGTTATATATTATATTCTGGTTGTTCCTTGAGTTTTAAACTTGGAACCAAGCAGTTTTTGTTTTTAAAAGTACAGTGCCTTATTTATCCTTTGTTTTTAAATTTACAAAAGCTAAAAAGCTGATCTATGTGATTAAAGGCTTGTATTTTATACTTGATGCACAAGCACTTGTACTGTAGCCGAGAAGACCACCATCATGCACATCAAAGGAGCTTTTCAGCAGCCACCCTGCAGCGTCTGCCCACCAACAGATGCCCCTCTTTGCAGACCCCAGCAGTGAACTTCCCTCTCTGTCTTGTTTGTTTAGATGATATTTGAAAGCTAAACCAAATCATTTTTATGGTATGCAGAGGATTTATAATTATTATAAAAGATTACTATTTCTGTTACCCCCTTTTTAAAAAGATCACATTCATTGTTGTTTCCTCCTCTCAACCTTTGATGTTTTGTCATTTGAGAGCATGTATATGTCACAAGTGTTAATTTTTGTTTATAACTTCTAAAAAAGCATCTGTATCCCCAAACTGTATTACTGATTCTCACCATCTTCTTCATTTCTGGCCTTGCTAGCACTCCTGCTACCAAGCGTCCAGCTGCAAGGGTCTTATTAGAAGACTGGATTCTTAGAAAATAGATCTTAGTTGGAGAAGGGAACTTGCAGAGTCCTTCTGAGGCTAAGGAAAGTTGTATATTATATATACTTTGGGAGTACATATAATATATAACTTTGGGAGGAAAAAGTCCAGGATGTTTTGTTTTTTTTTTCATCTTGCAGCTTGATGATTAGGATGAAAGTGACTTTTCTTATTTTCTTTCTTACCCAGAGTACTTCCATGTTCAAAGAAAGCCGAAATATTTGCAGTAATAGGAAGGTTTAAGAGTGTGTATGTCCATGTATGCGTGGGTGCGTTTGCCTGTGGTTATCAGCCACAAATGTCTCCCAATCCCGATTTTACAGTAAAATTTTTTCTTCCCCATGCAGTGTGCTTGGGTGTCCCTGAGTTGAGTGATTAGCAAAGAATAGGTGGTTTAAAAGTAGCCCAGTGTCTCTGTGAGCATCCCCAATACCACTATAGTACCAGACTCAGAAAGATCTAAAACAGTCGGAGTTATGTAAAGGTTAGAGTAGCCTTGCAGTGAGAGGAAGCAGCTCCAACATCTGTGGGGAGCCCCCACACCCCCTATACCCAGAGCTGATGTGCAGCTGTATGCTCCAATGTGAACGTACTTGTTGGAGTAGATGTCCATTCTGATTGATTGATGCCATCCTAGTAGTTAAACGCTTGTAGTTTCACTCCTGCCATGTCATGTCAGGCTCTGTTCCATGTCTCAGAAGTGAGAACTACAGTATTTTCACTGACTTTGCCTTTCCCAGGTAAAGCCTTAGACGGGCGCATTGGCTTTAGCCTAGTGCTTATGACTTTTCCATTGGGCTGCTTTACAAAAAAAGGCTTGGTTGCTGAAGCCTCAGCCAGCTTGTTTAACCTGTTCTGTCACCAAAATCAGCTTGCATGGACAGCTGTGGCCCTGTCCGTTTCATTTAAAATTTTCCATTTAGGTTGTTTCAGATCTCTTTAGATAAGCCCAGATGGACTTTTTTCATGCGAATCATGATAATACAGGCCTTCTACCCATTCCGTTAAAGGTGTGCTGTATATCATGGAAACTTCTGATGATTGGATAAGACTGGAGAAAAGCATTTGATTTATGAGAAATTTAGAATTGTGTTGAATTTCATAGCTAGAGAAGCTTGCTATCTTATGAAGCCCTGATTTGTTTTATTGTCTTCTCTGTCTGATGAGTCTTTTTTTTTCTTTTATTATCTTTGACTCTGGCCATTCAAGAGCTACCTATATTAATAAAACTGCTGAGTGTGTATGTTGGCAACCCTTTCTCAGCATTAAGTTGCACAGAAGCATTAATATGTTTTCAATAGGTTCATTTAATCTTAAAAAATGGTTTTATGGTTTTAAGAATATCTTTTCATATAGTTGTCACTGGATATTGTTTTTGTGGTGACTTAAACAGCTGATGTTTGCCAGTGGCAGGCATGCTGATTCCTGTACATTAGAGGTGCCCCCTTGGCTGCATACAAACTACCTTGTAAGGTGCTTGGATTAGGTTAGGGAGAGTAGTAAGGTAGTAAGTGGGTGGAACTTTTCCAGTTCCAAGTGTGTAACTCATTCCATTCCTTTTCTAAGTTCTTTTTCATTTTTAAAAGCTCACTTAAAGATAATAGCCTTCTTTCCCATTCTAGGCTGTGTGTGAGAAAAGGTGTTAATGTGTATCTGTGTATCTTACATACGTAACAATGCAATGGATCATCTTTAAAATCAACTGATACTTTATAATAAGGACATTTAAATAGACCGAGAGTCTACATAATTACAACACTTGAAAGTTTAGAATTTTTAAAATTTGTTAAATCTCATTTTTGCTGATTCAGTTAATTTTGTTTTAGAAAAAAGAAAACAGCAAAACTTGAGGGCCAATCCCGAAAGGCCCTTTGATATCTGCAGCAGGTACTGGCAAAGCAGTTTCCCAGACACCTCCAAGCTCAGGTTGGGTATTGAGTCAAGTCTGTTAGTTTTCCCTCCCTTGCAGAAATCTTCCTAGAGCCGTCTTCAAGAATGGCCCACCACCAGATGCAAAAGCAGTCTATCCCACATTCTGATTCCAAATCAGAAAGGAATTCTGCTCCTGGGTGTATACTTGGTGAAGTGACCATCCCAGTCTTGGGGCTGAAGTTGATGACCAGAGGATTCTGGTATTCTCTGAGTTTCTGGAGATGCTGGTAGATGCCTGGGAAGTAATCACTGAAGCTCTGCCATAACTCCCCTAGAGGAGGGCCCTCTTCAGAACACCTGTCTTCTATCCCATGAGGCTCCCTGCTGTAGGTGGACACCCAGGAGACCACTCCCTCACTTAGGGTCCCCAGCTAGCCCTTCCTCAGACAGATAGCAGTCTTGGAGTACAGCAGGAACGTTGCAGACCTGTGTTCTGCTCCTGGGGCTTCCTTCATAGGAATGCTATTAGTGTCTAAGTCAGTAGTCACTAGCCCCTTGGATTCCTTAGTAAAGACTTCTCTGCAGGCTGTGAGTCTCCTGCTGTATTGTTCCTAAGATAGTATGGATAGAAGAGGTACCCTTAGTCATCCCTTACATATTTGGTGCTTTCTAATGGGATCCTCTGTGCATCACATACTATGCAGGTGAGTTTCTCATTGTTCAGTTAGGTCATCAGTAAAAGGCATCACTTAAAGATAGTTACTTTGAATTAAGATTTGGCCTCTTTTCCTGCTTTGTGATGGGTTCTGTGGTGAGGGTGGGAGCTGTCATTCACATTTATGGGCAGCATTCCTGTTGATTAGTGGACCTAAGTGCCAAGTAGGAAAACATAGCATGCTATGTGATGCAAGCTGGAGATGCTGTAGTGTTAACCATCAGCAGGTTCTGTGTCTTGTCACAACACCTGGGACTGGGCTGGAATATCCCAAGGTGCTGGCCAGTAGCCCAGAGAGCCATCCCCATTCCTTTTGGTTTTAGGTCAGCCTGTGCAGGCTGCCTTTTGGATTCCAGATGATCTATCAAGGGTCTGCAAACTGTGGGCTGGTCACTTGTTTGTGTAAATAGAATGTGTTTGGAATATAGCCACACCCATTTTCTTATGTACTGTCTGTGGCTGCTTTCACACTGTAAGAGCAGAGTTGAGTATCTGCAGCAGAAACCCTTGTGGCCCTCACAGCCTAAGATACTTACTATCTGGACCTTCAGAAAACATCTGATCCCTGCTTGAGAAAGTCATCCTTTTTCAGGAACAAATATTCTCTGATTTTCCTTCTTTCTTCTGCCCCTTTCTCTGTTCTTCTGTATTTACCATTTTCCTTGTCTCAATTTTGTTTTTTTCTTTTACACCTCTTTATTCTTGCTACAAAGGAGACACGCTATATTGATACACACTACCATCCTCTTAAACTTGAGTAACCTTAGCATTCCATCTGTCTTAAAATCAACTATCACAGTAGCCAAAACGAGGCCACCTTACCCTATAGAGCCTGAAGGGATTCGGGTTCTAAAATTACATGTCCTGGGCCTCTCATTTCACTCATGCAGAACTGATACTGGCTTTATTTATTGTTTAGTAAAGTAAGCCAAGATTTTGTTGCTGGTAAAATTAGTTGAGACTACTTTAGTTGGACTTTTAGTCCTTTGAATGTCACATTTAGATGCGGAAAACGTTTCTCACAGAGTAGAAACCAAGTCTGATCACAAACCCAAAGCATTATTTTTCTTTATTTTTTATTTTTTAAAGCATTGTTTTTCTAATGTAATACTTTGGTCAGCTTTTAGGAAAATAAAGAGTTGGCACTGATACCTTTTTAGTCACAACTTTCAAAATAATTTTATTAAAAGTAAGCCAACAAATAAAACATAAAGGCTTTTGGAGTGCTTTAATCATGATTTAAAAAATTAGAGTTATAACCAGAGTATGACTGAAAAGCCATCGTAGTCTTCCTCCTGCTCCAGAAACTCAAGGATAAGTTATATGTAATCTTTTTTTGTTTGTTTTAAGTAGAGACAAGGTTATGCTTTGTTGCCCAGGCTGATCTCAAACTACTGGCCTCAAGCTGCGCTTCCACCTCAGCCTCCCAAAGTGCTGGGATTATGGGCATGAGCCACCACACCAACACAAGCATAAGTTTCTGTGCCATTATTTTTAAATGTGGTTGAATGTCCTGTCAGTGAAAAATGTTTGTCAGTGGCCCCAAAGCAGTGATTGTTTTAGTTGTCTTGAAACCAAAAATTATTATTTTTAATTCTTAGTGTTACTCTGATGTCTTATGACTTGATATCCAGTGAAAATACAGGATTATTTTAAAGTATGAAATCACATCTGTATAAGGCAGTCTTCATATCTAGCAGTAAGTGCTCTTCCCCATACTTGCTCTCAAATCCTTTTCAGGGGAAAAACGAAAAGATTATTGTATTTGAAACAAGCAGAATTGTGGGAAGCTGTCTTTTTTTTTTTTTTTTTTTTAAAGACACCTAGGCTGGAGTGCAGTGGGCATATGATCATATAGTTTACAAGTGCAGCTTTTTACGGTTGTCTTCATTTTGATGACACCCACTGCAGCCTTCATCTCCCAGACTCAGAGATTTTCACACCTCGGCCTCCTGAGTATCTGGGACTACAGGCACATGCCACTACACCCACATTTTTTTTTTTTTTCAGTTTTAGCAGAGATAAGGTCTCTCTGTGTTGCCCAGACTGGGAAGTCTTTTTGAGGCAGTCTTCAGTATAATTCATCCCTTGGAACATCAGAACTGAGTCCTGTATTCTACAATGGATGGATTAGAAGACTTGAGGGTCCAGCCTCTTTCCTTTATAGATAATCAGACCTGGGCAGAAACCCAGAGCTCTCAGGGCTTTGCTGTTTTGTGTTGTGCTGTGCCGTGCCATGCCATCCTGGGGCCCGGGAAATCACCCTGAGCACTTGTGGAGTGTGTCCCTGCTCAGGCTTTTGCCTTGTTATTGAACTGAAGCTGGTCAGTTCCTTCCACTTCCCTCCTCTCTGTCTGATCTTCCTTTTCCCAAAGCTTCAGTGCTTGATGCTCAGTGCTCAGGAGATGTCCTTTGCTCCATCCTTCAGAAGGGCAGTTATGTGGTTATGCTACCAGGTGAGCACAGACTTCAGAAACTTTCTCCCCTAGCTGGGACCATCCCACATGGCGTGCTCAGTATGCATGCCTCATGAAAGCAGAGACTGTCCATTAAAAAAAAAATCAGGTACTCATGGTATTATAACATGCCAGGGGTTGGACAAATGGATTTTTTTTTACCCATTTTTAAGGGGTTATGTAAAAAAATAAATAATGGAGACCATATGTGACCCACATAGCCTAAAATATTTTCTTCCTGACCCTTTTATAGAAAAGCTCTACTGGTCCTTGGAATAGTCATTCAAGATCAAATTGTTTAGACACACACAACTTTTTTTTTCTTCATGTAGTCTGACATTGCCACAGTTCTTTTAGATTTTAGAGTATCTTGCCTGTTCATATCAGTACACAGTTGCTGATACACTTTATTCCTGAACAATGCTTTTGCAGAAAAGAAACATTATCCCCCTTTCCAATTGTCTACTTGTTAATGAATTGTGGGCATGTGATCATATCTATTAGGGTATGTAGTTAAAACTAAAAGTGCAGTCTTTAAAAGTACAGTCTTCCTTTTGATGAATCAATGAACATGACTCTGGCAGAGAGACATTCCATTAACAGCAGTTCAGCACAAGCAAGTTACTCATAAACTTAAAGCCAAGAATAGTGCCTCTCCCCGAAAGTACACAATGTATTGGTTTTGCTCCTAGAACCCTTCATTTCTCTTTTTCTATCGTATCCTTGCAGGTTTCTCACTCTTCAAGCTCTGGTCGTGATATGTGAACTTAAATGCCTGGTGTTTGCCTGTTTGACTTTCAAGTGCAGATCACACGTTCTCTTAAAAATACCAGCATGTCTGTGGCTTCTTGTCAGGACACCAGCAGCTTTAGACAAAACAAGTTCGGGGCTCTCCAGCCGAGTCACCTGCTCATTCTAAGGAGTCATCCTTGGCACCTTGCCCTTCCTCCTCCGCCTCTGCTCTTGCTGCCAGCCCCCTTCCAGGAGGCATCTTCTCTGGGACAGTCCCCACTTCCCCAGTGCTGCCCTGAACATACATGCATCACATTGTTCTCTCAAAACTATTTTTCCTCTAGTATTTAGCTGTTGGGTCCAAATGCTATTCAGTTTATCTACTTTTTTTGACCCCAGATTTCTATGATCTGCACCTCATAGTTGTCTTGTAGCTAAAGCTGTGGTATTTGGGAGCTAATTTGTGGGAAAGAGACTATACAAGCAAGATTTGCATAATTTTGTATATTTATACCACAGGTAGGGATTATTTTTAGAGCCACTATAGCTTAAGGTTATTAATTTCACTAGTGTGGTTTCTGCATTCTAAATAGTTCCCAGAGACTGTGTTAGTAACTGGTTTCAAATACCTATATATAACACACACATCACTGTGGAATTTATTTCACTGTGTAAATATCTTCCTGTTCAAATACTTCTATAGAAAGTATTTATTTTAACAAGAAAATTAACTGTCAAAAGGGCTTTCCAAAAAGTGTTCTTTCTAGCCACCCATCCTCCCCAGCTACCATGCTCAACCATTGAGACCCCAGACAACAGTGAAGGCAGAAAGGTATGGCCTTGAAACCTTCACTCTATTTGGACAGATGCAATATAAATGCATCTCCACACTGTCACCCCGTCTCACAACAAAGTGGGACTCCCACCATGGGTATGGCTGTGCCAGGCATGGCATCAGACATGCCCCATGCAGCCTACTTCTTGCATGTATGGTTGGTACTTTCAGCTGTTCACTTAACAGCCTGTACAGGAAAATGAGCCTTAGTTGTAGCCCCAAGGAAATCCAAACCCATGCCTGTGAGATACGGAGAAACCACTGGTCGCCTAAAGAAAGCATTAAGGTGTATGTATTTCCAGTCCTTCTCTCATGTTGGTGAAAGGCATCTATTCACACTCTCATTAAACATAGGAGATAAGCATGTTACCTTCTGCACCTTGGCAATGCTTGTGAGCACCTGGCTCTCTTTCTCCTCCTCCCCTCTCTCCCTGTCTCAGCATGCATCTGTGCAGATGTGGGCCAGTCCCTCTGTAGCCAGTGGTTACAGAATGAGACCGTCTGTTCTAAGATGTGGTCAGCTTCTCAGGAGTCCTGTCCTACAATTCAGAGCACCCCTAGATGGGATGGAACCAGTGCTTTATGATCACGTTCCTCTTCCCTGTGCCCTGTCCTTGGGCACCCCCATGTGAGTCATGATCCTCATTGTGCAGGGCTGGCTGGACTGAGAATTGCGACTCCAGGACAGCAGGGAGCTTTGGGACTAGCCATGCAGGGGGTTTTGCTACCCATTTGTACCATTATTTGCATATTTTCTTAAGGCCTCCCTTTGTCTTTTCTAAACAAATGAGGCAGACACTTGAACAGTAGTGCTGGAGAATGTTTTTTCTAAGAGACTAAGCAAATCTGGTTTTAAGATGAAATGTGAATGAGAAACTAGGTGCCAGGGAATTTAGCACTGAACTAGACGGTCAGAACTTTTTTAACTTTGCAGGAAGAAATAAATTTTGCTGTCATCTAAATGTTCACAAGAGGTAATGTTGTAAATAGTTTTCTAAAAATATTTATTACCTGTGCCGTATACAAATTCATGTTCTGAGTGATGTTGGTTTGCATTGTAGTATTATAGAATATATTTTGAGCAGTGGACTTCCTTTCATAACACAGTTCACATATGGAGAAAGAACAAAAACCAGCAGGTTGAGAGCTGTTTGGGGCATTTGATCTGTAATGTTACATCAAATCTAAGCTTTAACTGCCCCCTCTTCTCATCTGGTTATATTGTGTGTGATAAACTGGTCAGTGGTCAGTACCCAGATCTGCAGAGCAGATTTCCAGGTGTTCTTTCTGATGTGTTGCCCATAAGCAATAAGATCCTAGGTAATAACATTTATTCCGGGGCCGCACTGGCCCTTGTCTCAGAGGATAGGGTGGGGGTAGAACAGCTCTTGCTAAGACCTCTTGCCTTTGCCGGAGAGGTTGCTGTACTTGAATTTTTCCTTCTGTTTGTCTGCACACTCCTTCATGTCATAGAACTCTATCAATGGATGAAAAATCTGCCAACACCAGACACATCAAGATTGGGCGTATAGATTGAAACATTTGCAATTTTTCATGAACATGTAGAATCTAGTTGAGGCAAAGCTCATTTGGCTGTAGAGAAATGTAAGACTTGTTACAATGGAAATTTAAGTGGCCAATTAAATGTCCTTTGGCTATATTTGACCTACCATTAAAAGCTAGCCCATTTCCTATAAGCCTCTTCTGTTCCTGGGCTTGAAATGTCTAAAGCTGCCTTGGTGTCTGGGATTAAACCATGTAGGTCACTATAGAGGGCAGTCACTCCTCCATCTCTCCCAGCATATCCAGTTCAACAGATTTCTAAAGATGTTAAGCAGCCTCTCTTTTTGACCGTCCTAAACTTTGTGAAAAAAATACCCCACACCCAGATAACCATGAATAGAAGTAATGTAGTTTTTTAGGCTTTTGGAATATGTCTTCTCTTTTGTATTTATGATGGTGTTTGGAACTTTTCACTAGTGTTTTTTTAGATTGAAGTGGGTGCATTAGGATAAAACTTTCTGTTGCTGAGCCTGAAGGCAAGCAAGAGGAAAGAAATTGACCTGTATTGTATCATTGGGGAGGTGACTACTTCTTGTGGTGGTAGGGGGTGGGGGGAATGGGACATTGTAGATTATGTGGGGGTACAATAGAATTCTGGCCTGAGGCTCCCCAAGTCTTATTACCTTGTATGAAAAATCCCCTTATTAGCCTCACTTAATCTCAATAGAAGCCTGCTGTTTACCCTCAGGGAACAAGTAGTTTTCAAAATTGAGCTCCTCCAAGGTCATTGGCCGATGCCTGTGTGCAAGCATTGGTCATCTTTGTAAACTCATGGCATTATCTCCCCATATGCATTATGATACTAAGAAATTCAACCCCAACCTGTATGAAAAGCACAGCCCAGGGCCCTAACTGAGGCTAGCGTGAATGCCTTTGAGGGGCCAGGGAGCCGTAGGAGGCCCATGCAATTTAACTGAAGCTCAGGTGCCACGTTGGATTTTTATTCTTACTAGGCCGCAACCCTTCTGAATGCATTTAGGGCAGGGCTGCTGATCCGGCTGTGGATTCAGGGAGCTCTAAAATGAATCTCTACCGTTCCTTTAAAGGTCTTTCTGGTTTCTCCCAGTGTTGTCATTGCCGAGGTCGATCTCGTAGTTGTTCAGTTGTGCTCCTTTTTGCTGTCTTGTGAGTCTTAGCCAGTGATCCAGCTGCCCAAGGACAGAGCCTCCAGAGGGCCTAGCGTCCTCCTGGTACCAAGCGTGTGCTCCTGGCCTGTGTGACGGTGTCTTTCCAGAAGCAGTGAAATGAGAAATTCTGCAAGTGGCAACCTGGAAGATCAGTCTGTATCTCTTGGGCCTGGATTTCTACTATGTTAGTGAGTGTAGGAATATACTGTGTCTTTAATGGATGAAAATTCAATGTATGCTGTGAATTTGTTGGTTTGAAACATTGAAATTTTTCATTAGACAATGTTTACATACCTCACCTGAAGAACCTTTGAGAGTGTATATATAAAATTTAAAAATATATTAAGTTGCTTTAAAACAATATGTATAGCTATAAAAGTTGGAGTTATTTTAACTTTGAATATGTACCAAGTCTCTTAAATATTGAAATCTTGTAGACTTCTTGTGCTTCTGTGTTTTGCTTTCCTATTAGGCCATGTAGGAAACTGTGTTCTTGTTATTGGTAGAGGGGCCCTCACTGAAATCCAAGCTTGGAAGGATTTCCTGTGTTGTTTCAGATTCTCTTGTTTGGTTTTGAGGGATGGGGTGTGGAGCCAGAGGATGTGTGGGAAGGGTTTCTCTAACATTGACATCTATTCCATGAGCTTTTTCAAGGCGCTTATTTTATGGCAGCGTATTAAACTTCTTTGATATTCAAGTGTGTATGTGTAGTCACTGAAGAGGGCACAGAACGCCTTGGAAGCCAGGCATTCAACTCGCAGCCTAAGACAAAATTGATGAGTTACTGGAAGGAACCACAAAGCAATACTTCCACCAAGTGTCCAGGCTTAGAGGAACCTTGTTTGCTAAATGTAAGTAACAAATCATTTTGTGAGTTTTGCCTAACTTCAGGAAAAAGACAAGACAATGGAGGAATCCTTGAGATTCCCATGGCAGGGTTGGAAAGATGCCAGCATTTTATTCTGAGGGGCAGGGAGCAATGGAGGTCAAGCTCCTGACCTCGGGCTAGCCACTGCCCCCGGGCTGCCCCAGCTCTCAACGTCCTTGCTGGAGTATGGAAGAAAAAGTCCTTCTATTTGCTAGCTTCATGAATTTTTTCATTATATTCTTTCGGCTCTGCTTGAAGGGGGTCAGCCTAAGGGCCCGGTGATTCTTTACAAGCTCATTTGACTGTGCAGAACCACATTCAGCAAAAATAACCCTGCAGCTGATTGCCAGGCCACCCCTCTAATTTGAATTTGGAAGATTACCTTGCTTCAGATTAGTTGTTTTCATTGTTAAGATAGACCTCTTTTCCTCCAATAGTCGTCCTGTAGTGGAATGAGAATACTGACCCAAGAGGTACAGACTGGCTGCCTTGGGGTAAGGGGCATCTCGAAATTAACTCTGAGGGCTTTGGGTTTAGAGATGATAGCGATGTGTCATCACCAATATCAGGAAAACTTGGCAGCCCGAGTAATCAGGATGTTGCCTGTTGCAAGTCTGGGCACTGCCTTTTGGTCCCAACCAAGCCTTGCTGTGCCTATTCCCTTCCTTTTAGCAGTGAAATTTGCCACTGATTTTACTTTAACTCAGAAGTAGCAAACTGGTGGCCCATAGATGTGCTTTCTTTAACGAGAGTTTAAAAGAATATGAGCTTTTTTTTTTTTTTAACATAAAGATTAAGAGTTCTGACTACTCTTTTTAAAAAAGTTAAAAATATGAAGAGCTTTTTTTAAAAAAAAATGCGCTTTTGTAACATTAAGAGTTCTGACTTCTCTTTTTAAAAAAGTTGAAAATATGAAGATTTGACAGAATTAGCTGATGGTAAGTCTGCAGACACAGTACATTGGAGAACATGTCCCCGACTCTCCATTCCCATTTGTCATCACTGTTTCTTTACAGCAGGGAAACGGGTCTGTGTATGTGCTGCTTTAGCAGAAGTGGCAACACAAATGATAGGCCAGGTGACTGACAGGTAAGCTACTGGCCTTGCCACACAGGAGCATCCAACCCCATTGGAACCCATTTTCTCTCCTGCACCCTCTTCATTACATTTCCTGCAAAATCCCTAATTTTTTTGGAAGGCACCACTGAAGTTATAGCAGGTGGCCCTTTCAAGATGACCCACGTGCTGTCAAGGTGTGGCTTGTATGACCATTGCCGTGGCCCAATTTTCCACTGAAATCTGTCCATGGTACTGGCTCAGGTCCTTTACTGTCAGTGACCTTGCCCAGCCTACCTGCCCAGGCCTGGCCTTCCCCATCCATCCTGTGTCCTATAAATCATCAAATTGTGCTTGCAGTTTTCTCATCTGAATGGTGACAGAATCACTGCAGACCTGTTTGCCTGCTTTCTCCACCAATGTCTAACAGCCACTGTGCTAGAGACAGGAAAGTGAACCTCACAAACATCTGAGAAGTCACACTATTGATTGTCCTGATGGGCTCCGAAACCCTCAGAGCCAGATTAAAGATGGGTGTGGCTCTGTGCGCAAACTTACAGAATGTCCCTGTCACAGCAATTACTTGAAGGGAGATGAGGATGGGCAGCCTCCGCAGCTCAGCCTCGCACTGACAGACCCCGGGGGGCTGTGCCCCAGCCCTCTCCCAGGGCTCCCTCCTTCAGGAGGAATGGATTTCAGGAACACCAGGGCGTTCCAGGGACAGATGTCCTACATGTGTAGCCCCTTGGAGCCATCCCTGGATGGGGTCCCAGGTGTGATCAGCCCAGAAGCCCTAGTGCCCTAGGAGAGAATGCCAGCAGCATCGGGCTCACCCTTGGTGGAGATAAAGACAGACACCAACAAGGCAGAGTGAATCAATGTCATGTTCACATGGAAGACAACAGACAGTATCAACATAGTCTAAAACGATACTTCAGGGGTGGGCGCAGCTCCCTCACAGGCCTGTTCTACACCAGTCTCTTAAGAGTCCATCAAGATTACAGAAACCCCGACAAAATGTGTCACGACCACATCACATCCAAAAGGCAAAACAAGACGCTGGATGTTGACTTTAACATATAAAAATACTATAACAAAATGAAATACAAATATATATTAGAATCTGTAAGTATTCTGTATAAAGAGATACTTTTGCGGTTAGGCTGCCATCAGGCAAAGAGGAGACAAAGTCCAGCCTTTTCCACTTCCTGACACCTTCACCGGGAGCCCCAGCCCTGTCGCCAGGTTTGTTGCCAAGGCCACAGCTCCCTCGGGACGCACCCTGCTGTATCTCTTCATGTCTAAAATGCAGAGAGAACTAGGGGTCTTCACAAAGGGAGCGGGGGCAAGATGTGGAGAGGACTTCTCAGAGGGACAGTTTCGCTGTAGCCACCTTCCGGACTTGCAAGCCGCATGTGAACAGGCAACGTGAGTGTGGACTCAGGTCCTTAGTAACTCGCTGGTGGATGGCCACGTTGGAGAAAAAGCTGATCCTGGGGCACACAGCTCTCACCTCACCTCATGGCAGATTCCAGTCCTCAGCCTGCTCCGAGGTCAGCACGGCCATGCTAGGAGGCTGGGCCATGTGGAGGGGCCGGTCAGGGGAGGCTTAAGCTCACATGGTGCTCCCTGGGAACAAACACGCCAGCCACTCGCCTCCCAGCCCTGTGGCACCAGGTGAGGGGTGAGGTATCACCTGTCTACAGGTGCCCTTTCTACCACCTGCAGAATGAAGAGGTCTTCAAGCCTGGGAATTGGCTTCTCCAGGGTGGTGGAGAATGGTGGTAGCCAGGGAATCTTTCTTTCTCAGGGTTAGTGAGCACCTTTCTTCTAGGGAAGAGGCAAGCTAGCTGCCCTTGAGCTTTCCTGCCCTCTCCAGCCCAGTGCAGCTGCTCTGCAGGGTCCCACAGTGTCCTGGGAACTCTAAGAGAGGGATGCTATGCTATGTGGCCCTGGGAGAAGCCCCATGAGGCCCAGGCTGCCGTCTACTTGGGGTGGGGGCAGGGACTGTCGCCATTCTCAGAGCTACAAGCAAGTAGATCCCAGCTACCTGGTGAGGGGCAGATCCTGCCATGAGGATGCCTCCCCCGGTGGGCAGGGTGGGCTCTCTTCCCACGGACTCACAGTTGCTAGATTGAGTCCTTGTGGTCTGGGACATGCCAGGCACCCCCTACCCCAGCTGTAGCCTTCTAATCAGCATGAAGGGCTCCCCTCAACTGCCCTGGGCAGGGATGTGGGCACGGGACACGGACACAACGTCACTCCGACCCTCACCTGAACACACACCCAGCCATGCCTTCTGGTCACAGGTGGAGGGAGCCAGGGCAGGGACATGCTCACCCCTGTTGCCCACCAGAAGCCCCCAGGGATGTGCCCTCTTGGTGAGACCCTCTGGGGAAGGAAAGGGCAACTTTGCCTCCCTTTAGCCAATTCACAATTTGGCCTCACAAACCATCTCTCCACATTTTCAGTGTGTGTGGAAGAGAAGCCTACATAGATGATCATATTCAGTGCCTCTTCCAAGATGGGCTCCGTTGCTGCCAGCAACTCTCTGGCCTGGGCTGCTGTCTGTGGCTGGAGCCCACACTCAGCTCAGCTCTTCCCAGGCATCCTAGTCATTCCTGTGATGCTCTGGGATTAGTTTATATCTGTCCATTAGGCCAGAATGGCCACAGTTCCCAGTCCCGGGTTAGGCACATAAATACTTATTGATATGATCAATGAAGATGGGTCTTCTAACTCTTCTGGCCTCCCAGGACCACAGTGGGGGAGTCTACACTGTTCCTTCTGTCATCCCACCTACCCATTTTACAGCTGAGGAACCCGAGGCCCAGGTGGGGAGAAGTTTGCCCCAAGTGATAGAGCCAGTGGGGATTTCCCAATGCCTGTAGCACCATCCTTTCCAGTGCTCCCTACCTGCTTTCGGTGTGAAGGACTCTGAACCAGCTGCTCCCTAGTTGAGCACCCTGGCACAGACCCCCACTCCCAGCCCCTCTGCCGATAGCTCACCGACAGCTTGTGGCTGGCTGCTGGCTGGGGATCCCAGGACCAGTGCCCCTTCTGTGGCCAGTGTCTGGAAGCAGATGATGTTTGTTTACCTAGAGCAAAGAAGCCCCTGCCCTCTTTGGTGGGGTCTGCCACCATAAGCAGCCCCTGTGGCTGTTACCTCCACATAAGCCCTCCTTGAAGCTACAGTAGTCATCCTAGAACTTTTGGACTCAGAGGCCTTGTCCTAGAACCATCTCCACCCGCAGTGGCTGCAGAGCAGCCATCAGCCCAGAGGGGAAGGGTCCAACCCTCCCTGGCCAGCAGGAGGCGGCACCCCCACTCCGCAGCCTGGCCTACCGCCAGCAGGTTCTGTAGCAGTGGAATGAGCCAGGCTGGCTGCTAATGAGGCTGAGAGTACTTCACTGTTACCTGCAGAGGGGTAAGAGACTTCTGGGGCCATGGACCCAGCTCCAAGCCAGACTGGGCAACAGGCCAGAGGGCAGGGCTGGTTTGGAAAGGTGTCATTTATCTTCTCCAGACCCAGGTAGCAGGTGAGGAGGGGTGTCATCGTTCTGCACTTCTTGGCCTGACCTCATGCACACATTCATTCAACAAATATTTATTAAGCGCCTATTTGTGCAAGGCACTTCCGGAGAGGGCAGCCCGCAGCTCAGGCCTCACCCATCCCCTCTGCCCCCAGCTATGGCGCAATTTGCTTTTAAAAGGCTGCTCTGGCACCACCCCACCCAGGAGGGCCCAGCTGCCCAGGAGCCATCCTGTGATGA